AAGAGCGTCAAAAAGAAAATAGTTCATACTATATTAGGTTGATTTAATTTGTATAAATGATATTCGAGAAATGTAGAATTATTGCATAATTTATTTTTAAAAGAAGATTGATACAAGAAACATACTAATTGCAGAAAAAGCGCTTTTTATTTTGATCGATTGATTTTATTTATCATCGAGAATTGTCATGATAATATTTTGTGATTTTATACGTAAAGAGTGACTTGTGATTGAAAGGCAGTATCGAGAGGATTGATTGCAATATCAAGTAGGCTGGATTATTATAAGTAATAGCGTACTTTCAATGTTTGTAACAATATTTGAGAATTTAAACGGATAATCTAACTTAATCTAATTTTTTAGCTATGACATACAAACGGATTCTTTCAAGCACTGTAATATTCTCAATTGCAATATTTAGTTGTATCTTATTTTTAAGTTTTTTGTAACCATAATTACTTGATTTATTATTTCTATTTATTGATTACCATAAAATAATATGAGTAAAATAACAGGGCGGAAAGTTTTGATCGATTACACTTACTTAAAAGTTTATTCGCTTTTACGGTAAACATCGCAATTCTTGAATGTGTACGTAATTGATGTGTGTAATTACTTAATCAATCCATATTTTTATCTTCTTTGCAGAGCGAGAATGTGAAATGGATAAAGGAATTATCGACATTGATAATAGCGGCATGTTACGATATGCTAAGTACGAAGTATCGAGAGAGACTGACAATGAGTTGATTATTTACATTATTGTACGTAGCATACCGACACGAAAGATTTGTTTATGTTCGCTCGGTGCGAAGGAATGTTGTTGATACGTGCTCACCCGGCGCGACACAAGACATGTACATATACACACATACCAATGCTTCGGCAGCTGTTAGACACGCCGGCCGGCTCGGTGCGAATAATCGACATTTAAAATATGTAATTTGTTATAAAGCATGCTGAGTGATATATGCATAATCGAAATTCCGTATTTTTGTCACGGACAATGATCGTAACAAGGTAATAAGTAATGCGTGTGATCGTAATTAATGTCTCTCGATATATTTGTGATTTATCGCTATTGCGTTTTGATGCGCGACAAATTCCTTTCGTTCATTTCACATTAATCGCTTCATGTGTAATAGTTATACAATTGTTATTAATACATGTTAATTTAGGTTTGATGGCGATAACAGATATGTGTTATAACGACTCCGATTAATTGGCGAATATGAAAATCACAAAGGAATATCGAGTGTCGAAAATCGGAAATGCCGAAAGTCGAGAGTGTCGAAAATCGGAAATGTTTAAAATCGGGAGTTTTGAAAATCGAATATGTTAAAAATCGGAAGCGTCGAAAATCGGGAGTGCCGAAAATCGAAAGTCAAAAATCGGGAGTGCCGAAAACCGGAAGTGTCGAAAATCGGGAATGCGTTACGATATCGATAATCGGGAAACATTATTATAATATCGCGAATTTAAATGTCTTCGGATTTGTTCTCAACCCGATGTCAACGAATATTGGCTGGTGAGTAAATTCATTTGATTTAAATTTAGTTTGTTATTTAAATATTGGTTATTTATATTACTTATATTTAATTGCTATTTATTTGTATATAGTACAAAAATCTGAAAAATTATATTTTCGTCTGTAGTCTTTTTAAAATATTATTTTGAAAAATTATAATGGAGAATAATTTTTATTTATATATTTAATTACAAAAAAATAAAAAATAAACTTTTTAAAAATTAATTATTA